CTCGTTTATGAGCTCGTTGCTGTCCTAATTTAGGATATTCTTTTTAATAAATTCATGAAAATGTTAAAAGAGAGAGAGAAAGGGGGCCCCGGCGAGGATGTTTGCCCCGGGGCCCATGCTGGCTCTCGACGTTCCTGAAAGTAACATAATGTTGCGTATCTGCTTGTTGGATAATTTTCGGTATACATTTTTTCAGAGGAACTTCAGTCATACAAGTCCTTTCTTGATTAAACCAGTTTATTCTTCCTTGATACAAACTTTAGCACACAGTAATTTCACAGTCAGTACGTTTCTCGTCACTTTAAACTTAACTACGTTTATAATACAAGCTATAAATCACAGCGATTCACAACCTCGATAGCTTCGCTTTCTACGAGTGCAAAACACAACCTCAAAACAGAATCGTAAATTACCCGGAACTCTCTTAATTCAGTCCCGCAGGTTTTATCTGCCAGGCTTATATACTAAAGAAGGGGGCGTCTCGAATACACTCGGGCCTCCCCGATCATTCGAGAAATTCATCTCGTGTCACCAGGGTCACGTGACTTCCGCTGTCGTAACAATATTATAACTACCCAGCTCGTCTCCTCTCAAGCAGTCACCTGGCATGCAACATAATCAGTCTACTTTACATATACAAATAACCCCTATAAATGTGTTATGAAGTTTCTACTAATAAGAAAAGTCAGTATTATATATATTTATGATTAGTAATCAAGAAATATTTGTTGCAAGGAAAATCTCCAAGCTACTGTATGTTAAATACGGATTTTTCTGACCATGAAATGAATGTAGCTGCTACTGTCTTTTACCTTAACTTCATTTTTACGAAAACAAATCTTAGAAAGAAACCACTTTTAAAAAAATAATAATTCGTAATAAACTGCGCTATCCGTCCCTAATTTCGTAGGGTTGGACTACATGGACGGCAGCTAATCAACAATACATACCGCCAGACAGAATATTGGGGTTTACCGCCAACTCTTATAATGCACCCACGGCCCTGAAATACGGAGCGCTTATATATATACTTATAATGCACCCACGGCCCTGAAATATGGAGCGCTTATATAGATATACTTTTTTTACGGTAACAGGACGAGACTCACGGAACCACTAGATCGCACTCACTTATAATTTTTCTAATTCTGCTATTCATTGAAACTTATGATTTTTTTATCTAGGGTACACTAGATGACGCTAGGTGCGCCACTGTCAAGTATTTCTACAAAACTTGACCAAAAGTCTCCATTAAAACTCCCACATTTTCTCTGGGTTAATGTATCAACCAATCAGTACTGCGAATGTTAGAATAGACTCGGGTCAAGGTCGTCGCCTGATAATGTATAGAAATGAATAGTGACTGCATATTTGAAGCTTCAGTCATACATACGTCTACAAATCGCACGTGGCCCTCACGGAAGTGACGAGCTCGCCACTCACAAAATAACAGTTGGTTAGACGGAGTGGTTGTACAAGAACACAGTTCTAGTGAAGTAAAATTTTATGTAGCCGATCATGGCGTGTTCTTCATCTCACGATTACGTCTTTAAGGTCAGTATTCAGTAAAATACTTTATTGACTTAGAATATTTTGAAACTTACGGATATTTTGTTTGTAGTTAAGCGCAAAGCTAGACAATGGGCTTTCTGTGCCGTGGCCACCGAAACCCGGTTTTTAGCGTTATAAGTCATTGGAAGGCTGCTTGCGTATACAAAGAGAGAGTTTAATTAAGTTACATCATTAGTACGAGCATTAGGTGACAAATATATCTCATATTGTTGTGTATTTATATGCTTACAATTTAATTTTTTTAGTTTAATTCTAATTTAACCTTTTAACAAATATCTGACTGTAGTATTTTCACACGTATTTCATTAAATGTAAAATCTTAATCAACAATTGAGACAAAGTAATATATTCAATAACCAATGATCTGTGAGGGGGCTCTTTACTCACAGATTATGTAGATCCTGAGATTATCTTACATAATGGATAACATTTTGATTTTTTTCTTGGTCTTGGGGGAGATGAGAATGGGATAGTACTGAAGACCTTCCTCCCGAGGGTTCTAATGCAGGAACCTCGTCCCTTGTAATGGCCCAGCATACCTGTGTGAACAAATACTTCAAGGTCCCTTATTCACAGATGTATGAAATGTAGTCTGTCTTGAGTACTCCGACTTAATTCGCCCCCCCCCAGTTCATACCTGCGGACTTAAAACGCTAAAAACCGAGTTTCGATACTAGTGATGGGCAGAGCACAGATAGCCCATTGTGTAGTTTGTGCTTAACTTCAAACAAACAAATAAACCGACTTAATTCTGATCGCGATTGTGTTATATTTGTTAACGTGAATTTTTTTAATACGAAAATTTTTTCTTGTCATTACTATACTACATTTCAAGACTACGCACAAACTCAAATTATTAGCATTTGTAACGCCGAATTTTTCTACAAACACATAATCTGGTATCTCAAACGTTTCAAATTTAAGTTTGAAATTTTTTATAATAAAACCAAATTTCCTTGCATTTTTAATTATTCTTGTTCTCGTGTTGATGAATAATTTTCCTGATGAGCTATTCGAGAAGGAAGAGAAGCATCTAATAAAGAGCGCCATGTATTTTATCTTAAATACGTATACATCACTGTTGGTGAAGCCATCATAATATTCACGTCGCACCCAAAGATAAATCAGGGCTTTTAATCTGACAGATTTGCAGAGCTACCTGACGTTTAACTACTATTTATTTTTTACACTGCACAAAATAATAACATAGCATGAATATTAGAATTTCTAAAATACCATTGCTTTTTTATATGATCGTAAAACGAATAACTCATAACTGAAAATGCCTGTCGGTTTGTTTTGTAATCTGGTGGATATGCTATTGACTTTATGGTTTTACCCAACACTTTAAAAAATCTCAAATTGTTCAGTGATTCTTGTGTTGATATGAAATAATGTGAATGAATTAGATTTATTTCCTATCTGTTTATGTTCCCGTAAAGGGGGCCGAAGGCCGCCTGGAGGGGGTCACAATCACTCGCACTACTTTACAATAGTGTGTTGTCTGTCAGTCAGTAGACACTAAAATGACGCCACATAAGAGATGCTTAACGTTGCAATTTGTATTGTCGTGACGTCAGTAAAACGTGAACATACCATGAATCACGAGAAGAATTGTGCACCATGTAGGCTACAACACAGCATGACATATGAACTTCAAAAGCAAAAGAAATAAAAAATTGTTACTCTTAAGTTTGGTTTTATTTACTCTTGAAACAGAACACTAGTATATGTCTGATTTTCGCGATCTGTTTTATTTTCTTTCAAAAATAATAAAACATAGTCGATATAGTGAAACGACAAAGTTGTAACATGGAAAACAAAAGTGCCGATTGTAGCCACTTTCAACTTTTGAGTTCATTTTAGCTATAACGAATCGGTGATAAAACGCTCGTGAATTTTTCACGAACATAATTTAGTTTGAATTTTTTAAACTTTTTTTATTGAGTTGAGCACTCCAGCTGTCAACTTGTCTTGAGTTCTCCTCAGTTTAAATGCAAGGTGTTAATATGAATATTGTACTGAAATCCCCTTGGTGTAAATACCATAAGATAAAAGCGACCCGGGGAAATACTAGTAGCTCCAATTTTATGATATATGTATCTACCTAGAGGACTGGAACGTTCAAAACCCAACAACATTTTCCTTTTCGGGAAGGGTTTTTCTAAAATAACACAAAATAAGGAATGCTAGAAAAGAACAGGTCGCTTCGTTCTTAAACTTATTTTCTGGTACACTAGGATAAAAAAAAAAGTTGATGTCATAAAAAGATAAAAACCCAGTTTACCACTGAAAAAGAAAGGTCCACCTTTCGAAAGCGCTCGGGTTATAGGAATTTTATTGTTTTATATTAAAGACGTATTTTTTTCTGACATCATGAAAGCGGGTGTTAAATGTATTTCATGATGTTATTGAATATTTCAAGCTGGTAACTTAATTTGTGTAAGTTATGAAGCCAGCAGAATCACAAAAATTGTTAGACAAAACTAAAAGGAGCTTCTGAGAAGTAGATTGCAGCTTAAAATGTCATCATGTAACTTATCTTGGAGTCCGTCACGGTTTCTAAGCAATGATCTCATTTGTAACGTTCACTGGGAGGAAATACAAATACATATCGCGACCACTTTGTATCGGTTCAATCTACAAGCATGATATGGCTATTTTGAAAGCTATCGGAATATATAGGTCTATCCATGAGACCATGACATTTTCGTATTATGTGAATACCGATTGGCTAAAATACTGATCACGTGCTCTTTCACGACTCGGTACCTCAAGCTTTCGGAAGCGTTCAAGGCTAGGTACAGGTTTCTGGTTTATATCGTGTAAAGGTGTATCATAATAATAAGAGGAGATGTCCTAGTTAAGCTCCTTTGTAGGCCTATTTCCTCGCTCTAACGTATACACCTAAATCTTGAGGAGAACAATAGGCCAATTATTTATGTATACGTAATCTGTTACGTGGTGCAAGATTTCTGATATATGAAAATAGTACTTAAATGTAAACATTCCCAAGACAGAGAATTGGGTTGATATTCAAATAAAAATTTCCACCATTCTTAGGCTTAAGATGCATAATTACCCATAAATTTATAACAATAGTATTCAGGTTTGTACTCTAACCTGCTATTTTTGTTTTATTTTTCTCATGTAATTCATTCTAAAGCAGGGATTCTCAACCAATGGGTCACAACCCACAAGTGGGTCGTCAGAGTATGAAATTGTCGCGAATAGACTTTGAAAACAGATAATAGTTATTGCATTTGTTTAAAATATTTATATATTTATTTTAGAGAGTCACGAATGACAGACAGGTCATCAGTGTTTACAAATGGGTCATGAGCCTCTTCCCCCCCCCTCCAAAAAAAAACGGTTGAGGACCACTGTTCTAAAATAAGACGGAGATATGTTAGACAAGTATAATAAAAAAAAAATTATAAAGACAAGTGAGGATAGATATATACATAACCTAGGTAGCCATAGTAATATAGAAAATTTTAATGCTACAAAAAGTGTTGAAACGATAAAGTCAAAGCTACAAAAAGTGGGCTTAAAATTTAAAAAAAGGTATCCCTGCTTTGGGAAGTCACTGTAATTATGCTAGTCTGAGCCAAAGTCGGGATAAAACGTTTTAAATTTAAAGCAACTCAGTTTTTGTAGTTTTGACTTTCTTGTTTCAGTACTCTATGTAGCATTAAAACTTTCTATCTTACTATAGCCAACTAGGTTATCTATAGTATTCTCTCTCCCTACCAATAATGTCACATCTTAAGGAAATACAAATAATGTAAACAATTTTTAATGAACTTGTTTTTATTCAAAACTCTAATGATCAAACTTAACAGTGTTCTGTGTGATGGAGGTTGAATGTCAACAAAACCTACAAAGAAAATATATAAATTGAAATTTGCTGATTGCATATGTATTCAGACCCCTAAGTCAGTACTTGGTAGAATCAGCACCTTTGGCAGCAATTACCGCAATGAGTCTTTTTGGATAGGACTCTACCAGCTTTGCACAATGGGATGGTGTAATTTTTGCCCATTCTTCCTGACAAAATTGCTCCAATTCTGACTAGTTCGTTGGGGATCGTTGATGGACTGCAATCCTCAAATCTCGCCATAAATTTTCCATTAGATTTAACAGGGTCACTCCAGAACATTTACTTTCTTCCTTTGAAACCACTCCAGTGTGGCTTTGGCCTTGTGCTTCGGGTCATTGTCCTGCTGAAATGTGAATTTTTGACACAGTTTTAGATTCTTGGCTGACTCAAACAGGTTTTCCTCTAGGATTTGCCTGTACTTTTTACCACCCATCTTTCCCTCAATCCTGACATGATGCTGCCACGACAATGCTTGACAGTTTGGATGGTGTTGACTGGGTGATGTGCTATGTTAGGCTTGCGCCAGACGTAACACTTTGAATTTAGACCAAGAAGCTCAATTCTTGTCTCGTCTGACCACAAAACCTTTTGCCACAGTATCATTTATATGCTTTGTCGCAAACTCTACAAGATGATTCTTTTTCAGTAATGGGTTCTTTTCTGCAACTCTCCCATACAAACCAGCTTTGTATAGGGACCGGGATATTGTCAATGTATGAACACTGACTCCCATCTCAGACATGAAATTTTGCAAATTTTTTAAATTCACTGTTGGTTTCACAGTGGCATCCCTAACCAGTTTCCTTCTTGCCCGACTGCTTAGTTTGGAATGATAGCCTGATCTGGGTAGTATGAAGCACATTCCACTTCTTAATGATGGACTTCGCTGTACTCAAAAGGATAATCAGCGACTTGTGACTTGATTTTCTTGTGACCTTCACCTGATGTGTGCTTCTCTACCACTTTATACCTGACTTGTTTGGAAAGCTCTTTGGTCTTCATGGTTGGTTTATCGTATCACTATGTGATTTGTGGCTTGAACAAATGCATTTACTCTGAAGTCAAGTTAAACAGACAGAGACCATTACATTAATTTTGTGACCTTTCAAACTGGTATTTTGCACCTGAATTGATTTAGGGTTGCCGTAGCAAAAGGGTTGAGTACTAATGCAATTGAGAATATTCTATTTTTCTTTAAAAATCTAACTTACTTACATAATATCAACATAATTTTACCTTTCTCACTTTGGAATAGATTGTGTAGATTCTAAATATAAAGTCCCATATGAAAGTTTCATGATAGCAAGCAACAAAATGTGAAAACTTTCCAAGAGAATGAATACTTTTGCAAGACACTGTATATTTCGATCCCTACTTGTTTTTATAAAATTTAAAAAAATATTATACTTATTTGTTTTCTTTTTATTAACTATGTTTTTGTGCTCCAACATTACCAAGCGTGGGGCGCACGTATACCAGATTCGATTCTCTTATTTATCAGCATTGGCGCTCACAGAAATATTTTCAAGGGGGCCAAAACATGTATGTAGGGGATCAGCTTTTACAGTGTAAGTCAACAGACTATATAATATATATATATACTAGTATCCTTTTCGGTACAATAAAGGAATCATTGGGACCCCAGACGGAAGAGTTCTGTGAAAGAATTAGAGCGGTGAGGTTTGTCATTTTCTTCTGTACGCTTGTCTAGAAAATTCAGTTAAATACTTAGATGAGATTTTGATTCGCTCCATAAACACGTATATGACAATTTAGGCGATTTTATTAGCACAATAAACTTTGGTTTTGCTCAGCCAATACTGTGAAACAGTCGTTATTAATATTCAGACGTTTTAAACGGGTGATTTTGATGGCCGCCATTTTGTTTCATAACGATCCCTACTATTAAGTACTGCCGATCTTAATGATGTAACTTCTCAAACATTTTTTATTCTCATAATAATCGGATTTAGTTTTATATTTTGTGGATTATCATTCTGTAAAAACATACTGGACAATAATAAACAAAATTATAACTGATTTTAATAAACAAAACAACTAACGTGTACATGCGTAAAATGGATCATTGTATCCACTTTTATTGTTAATTATTGTCTTTTGAAAAATATGCAGCCAAAGAGTGTTGCGAAATTTTAAGATTAAAAAATCAAACTGTATATTCGAAGGTATTTTGTTTTAGTCTAAAGAAATACCGATGTTGTAAAAATGTCCTAAATAAGTAGTTAGTGAGAAGGAAATTTTGAAAATCATGCTATAAAAGTATGACAGGAAATTGTTAACAAAATACTAAAGTGAAAATTCAGTTCCATATTCCTGTGTTATACACCCAGTTAAATGATAATGTGATGTACTCCCTTTTTGGTGATTTTTCTATATCTTGTAAAAACTCGTTTATAAACGGGGTCATGTAAGAAATTTCATATTCTAATATACCTGAATTTTTTTCGTTACGTATATCTCAGTTGTATCTATCTTAAAACAAAGTCTAAATATAGTGCTTAATAATAAACAAACAGTTCTTTTTAATTAATGATAAACACTTATTTGTAATATTCAAGCAACATTATTTGTCAACACACGATATATGTTTAAGTCCAATGTTCCACATTTTGGAAAACGAATGTGCACGAAAAGAATAATAAATAGAACATTAAATTACTTTAATTATTTCTCTATTCATCAATAGTTGGGAGAACGTGGTTCGGGTCTTCAAGCTAGAAGAATTCAAGATTTCCACAAACTCCGTGAACAGTGTGTCGCAGAAGGAACTTTGTTTGAAGATACAGAGTTTCCTGCTTGTGATTCGAGCATCTTCTTCAGTAGCACCCCCTCTAGACCTTTTGAATGGAAACGACCTCATGTAAGTTTTAACAGTAGGATTATAATGGACCATGTCGATCAAATTTAGTAATCATTCAGAAATGTATAAAGACTGTGACATAAGTTTGATAAAACTTGATTTGAGTGACAAAGTGAACATTAAATGTGATACAGAAAAATACTTCATGGTTACGCAATCTTTCTATTCGTTTCGATGGTTATGCAACTTGAATTACAATAACAAACTTGAGTAGATGGCAAAACAGGTTTTTCTTATCAACTCTGCTTCTGGTAGCGACAAATTTCATATAGCCTTTATAAAAAGTAGAATTTTTATATAATTTTGTAGGGCATCGTAGCATATGCCATTGTATACATGTAGAACTATATTTACGGCATGAATGCAGCTGGTTAATTGCACTTTATAAGAACGATTTGCACAGGCGAGCCACATGACCTTGTTTAGTACCTACAGAACAAATAATGATGTATGGTCTTAGATTGACCTCACTGTCTGATTGATTGCGATCGACGATGGAGGAACTAGTTCTAAGGTACCTCAAATATTATTTTTATAAAGTGTTATTGAGATTCATTAAGCATAAATGTCAAAGTTCATGCTTTCCCATATTAGTTGTTGACTTTTATTGTCATTGTAAGTTTAGAATGACCTCCTCATGCGATGTTTATTATTTTTTCATCTGAAAATCATAAATCGTAATTTGCAGTTTATTTGGTACAATTTCTTGTTTCATTGTTACTGCTTTGCTAATAATAGCATAATACTGAGTTTTGTATGACATTTCAAACCAATTAAAACTAGAATTTCACAGATTTGTCTCGTCGATCATTTTACAAAAGAGGGCGCTGTAAGCCCAGAATTCTTATTTGATTTTGATCGGTATGTGTGGATTCAGAGAGTCAAGTCTCATAGAATTTAAGAGAACTATAGATAGTCATAAACTAAATACATATGATGCTACTAGTAATAAACACTAGTCATCGTCAATTGAAATTGTTATTTAAATATTCGTTTTATATTCTAAACTTAAAATGCACCTTCGTGCACATGGGTTAAACAGTCAAGTCAGAGATCATTATGGTTCAGGCATAGATGTCTTAATTTTGAACTACTGACCAGTGGGAAGACAGCCAGTTTGCAGCACCCACCGCTAATTATTGGTTTTTCAAAGTACCCACATCTGAAAGCACTAACCATGTTCAGTGACATCGCGAAACTTATCTTCTTCTCATTAGCTGCCTGCATGCTAACTATGAAGCTACGCTAAACCAGGTACGTAAGTATTGGAAAAAACTCATTCATAGAGTCTATAGCCAAACTTATTTTTATGTAGAATTATTAAAATACTTGAAATGTGTGTGTGTTTGAGAAGTAAAAGTCTTGAGTAACAAATGTACAGTTATTTGTTTGTGTCTTGAGCAACAAATGTACATTTATTTGTCTTTAGAAACAAATGTACATTTATTTGTCTTGAGAAACAAATGTACAGTTATTTGTTTCTGTCTTGAGCAACAAATGTACAGTTATTTGTTTGTGTCTTGACCAACAAATGTACAGTTATTTGTTTGTGTCTTGAGCAACAAATGTACAGTTATTTGTTTGTCTTGAGCAACAAATGTACAGTTATTTGTTTGTGTGTTGAGCAACAAATGTACAGTTATTTGTTTGTCTTGAGCAACAAATGTACACTTATTTGTTTGTGTCTTCAGCAACAAATGTACAGTTATTTGTTTGTGTATTGAGTAACAAATGTACAGTTATTTGTTTGTGTCTTGGGCAACAAATGTACAGTTATTTGTTTGTCTTGATACCAAACTTATTGATATGCATTCACAATATAGTAGTTCAATAAAATTTTGAATGCGAGTCTACAAGCGCGACGATTTGTCTTTGGTTCGTGACCATAGGAAAACCTGTAGAGATAAGCCTAGAGGGATTGTGTCATAGCGCAACGTTATTGAAAAAATGAATTAATTCGTTATTGTTATGTGGACTGGATTTCCAAAAGAACTATAGAGAATGCTATAATAATATTTAAAGCAAAAGACTGTCACTTTTATGAGTTTTGTAAGTAATGACTCATTTTATTTTCCATTATAGTTAATTTCGTTAAATTGTATTGAGTGTAACATTTAAAATAATTTTCAATATTTTTGGAATTAATTTCACACTTTGGAAGATTATATAGTTATATTATTAAAGTATTTAGGACTAACCTAAACCTCGCATTTTGCCTACACCTCTTGAGATATTATTGATACGAAAATATTAATTATAGTACAAGCGGTAGTATACCTAACTAATGATTCAGTTAACTTTAATCATTATAGGTTTTAGTTTTTCGATCTATTTATTAATGTCATTAATTGATTCAAGTTAGTTTGCTGTTATAGCAGATTGATTTGATTACTTTATAAATTACCTTTAAATCGTTTTAGTTCTGATCTAAATAATTAATTTACTTTGGATGTCATGTTCTTAATTTTTCAGCCAAATAATAACAGCTCAAAATATCTATAAAATTGAGTTTTTCAAGCCTTAGCAGCGTAGACAAACTAACTACAAACGGCTTGATATCACTGAACAGAGGTCTGGCATTGTCTGGTGGTTAGGGTGGTCGACTCGCAATCTGTGGGTTGTAGATTCGAATCCCATCACCGAACATGCTCGCCCTTTCAGCTATAGAGGCATTATAATGTGGTGATCAGTCCCACTATTTGATTAGAATAGCCCAAGAGTTGGTAGCAGGTGGTATTTGTTGACTAGCTGTTTTCCTTTGTTACGTATTAGAATTTCGAATAGTGCGAAGCTTAGTTAACTGATACTTTAAATTTAGTAGTTAAATTATACTTTGGATTTAGTATTTAAATATATACCAATGATCTTTGCCAACACGATTGATACACACCGTTTTAATATACACACAGCAGTACAATTTATAATAACAATTATTACAAATAATTACTAGAAACAATGATTTATAAACACAAGTTTCACAAACTTACAAACAATATAAAGTCTTCTTTCTAGTTTGGAACTTCCTTGATATCTTATCGATGGTTCATGATGAGCGAGTTGATTACGAGTTGACGGAGATATATTTCACTTAACGGGAAGCTAACTAGCTTTGTCTTTCACTGATCACACGCTGAGTGTTCCACCGTTGAAGTTAGTTAATGTTTTCATAAAAATACTAATGTCCAATGAGAATTCACTGAAGTTAAATAATTTATAATGTTCGAACTTTGTAAGGGTTCCTGGTCAAATATCTGAAGCTTTCCGATTGATAAGCATTATAACAATCACAGTTATAGCTTTCAAAGTTTATAGCACACTGACTATAGCGAACTAATAATAGACACTCTCCTCTTGGCGCGTCGCGTTGGTTATATTTATAGGGGTGGGAAGGTTTTCTAGAAAATGCAGTCTTACGTAACATTACTGATTAAAGCGTTTACGTATATAGATATATTGTTGATTCTTACTCTCGAGAATCTTCTACACCTTTGGAGAATAGGCGGGAGTTTCAACCTATCTAACAGTATAAGTTATGTATGTTTCTAAATATAAACTTAATCTAAACAACGTTGATATCAAAATAAATACATAACAAATTCGTTACACCTTCTAGTCCATCACTTCTAAATTAGGGACGCCTAGCGCAGATAGCTCTCGAGTAGCTATGCGTGAAATTCAACAAGCAAACAAATGACTGGACAACAGTGACTGCAAAGTTTGTGAATGTGAATCAAGTCCATTAAATGACTACTAAACTCTTAAATAATCTGTGTGTATAAATCCCGGCATTGGCACTTTAACTATAAAGTGGTATCTCTATTCGTTACACATTTTGATCTCCCCACCCTCCATCTTTGCGGGTTGTAATAATGACGTTAAATAAGGCCAAAAAGCTCTATAGATTTGATGTCAAGCTTTTCTAGTATTTTAGAAAGTAGATTATAAATACAAGGTTCAGCGAAACATTGAGAAGTTAGTTAAGAAGCTAGTTGAGAAGATATTTAAGAAAAGAGGTAGTTGTCTCTAACCGGTAAATCAGTTAGTGCATTTTTTTTTCAGCCGTGAAGTGGTACAAATAAGTTTACTCTGTAATTAGCGCTATTTGTAAACGTAGGCCTTCAACAAATTACAACAGTGTTCATACTTGTAAAAACCTTTAGAAAGGAATGAACAAATGTGTTAGTTAAATCGCTCCACCCAAACACCTATGTTTACCTGCTAATTATGTACTGTCATATAAAATGACTTTTTTTTTTACCAAGATTGATTATATTTAGTATGAGATGACAAATGATTCTGAATCATTTGTTGGGTGAACTGAAAACCAAGGCGTCCTTCACCACCTAAACATACCCGTATTTTTGCATTCGCAGATATTGATGAAAAAATAAAAAAAGAAGAAACAGCCTTTTACAAGTTTGTGATCCGTCGTTATGTTGACCAAAAAGAAAATTTTTTTTTTCGTTTTTGGTAACGCACGGGCGTACCACTTCATAGTTAAGATTGTATAAAATGTCAGGTACTTTAAAATGTATCACTGTTGAACACTAAGAAGCTTTTCGTTTCTTGAGTATGTATTTAGTTATGAACCTGTCAGTGACTACTAAGAAATGCAAGTTTATCCACACTAATTATGAGTGATATAGTGAGAAAGCTGACGTCACATTTAATTCGGACATACTCGTCAGTGTTCTTACGATCAGCAGTAGGTAGTGTAGTTTCGTCTGTTTGTACATACAAGTATTTACAAACATTGTCTATTGACACAAATCAAACATAGAGAAGACAGGTCTTATAACAACACTCAACGTTTTACACACCAGTAAGGTATATTTACAGAAGTTATGTTTAAATATATAAATATTAGGAGAATAATCCGCAAGTGTATATCCGTTATAATTGCTAGAATCATAGTGCTAAAGTAAGCCTTATTAAACTCCGCCCATTCAATAATAATAAAGTAAGTGACTTGGAAATATGCCAACAAAAACTAACAAATTATTAAAAATTCGTGACTGTCTTGACAATCAAACCAACGAGCCTTGAGTATTCCACACACACAAAAAAAAACAAGCTTGATTTTAATACTTCGGAATAGTGTATTAACACTGTTACGTTTTCAGTAAAACACGCATGTGCAAATCGCTAGCGTGGGTGTTCAAAAGAATTTACTACAATGACTCAAGATTTTTTATACATCGGTGACATCGCTAGTACGTGGGAATGTGTACGTTGTACATTGAGCTTAATTAGATCATGTGACTTATCATTTACTCATCAACCTATATAACCCTATAAAAGAGGGTGACAACGTGACGAAATAATGTGTGTGTAGGTAGTGAGTAATTGAACTGCAGTCAGAAGTATTGTTGAAGTTAACGTTCGTTGTTAAAACATTTGTTACAGAGCGACTGTTGAAAATAAGTGTATCGTAAAGTTATATTCAGAAAGAATAAACCAGTTTTATTAAGTAAGGACTTGTGTCGCTAAAATTTCGTCGGAACGAAGTTACGGAAAGTTAATTAACAAACGGAGACGTAACAAAACTCAAATCTTGCCAAGTTATGAAAACTGGTCCAAGAATATGTGATTACGAAGCTAGGGCGTCCACCGGAAGGACGCGCATTGCCATCGCCTTAGCACTCTGTAAAGTGGAGTAGGGAAAACTCATCTGTCGTAGCGGGTGCAGCTTTTGAAGATCAGAATAGCTAGCTAGAGCGCAGGAACATGTGACAGACGAATACCAATAAAACTGAAAGGAAATATTAATATGGCAGTGAGAAGACCAGTTATGTTACATGGGGCTGAATGCTGGAGTTTATGACAAAAAGACGAGCAGATGATAAACGTACGGATGTTGAGGTAGATGATACAGGTGTCAAAAAAAAAAAAGACTGCATCAGGAATGAAACTATTAGAGAGAGGGTGAAAGTAGTACTATTTATGGAGAAGATGAAAGAAACTCGCCTAAGATGGCTCGATCATATAGAGGGAAGAAAAGAGAAGTATGTTCATAGGAGAGAGATAAATACGACAAGGGAAGAGGAAGGATAATAGGAAAACCGAAGAAAAGCTGGATTGATGTAATGAGTAAGGACATACGAAAATGTAGTGTGAATATAGCTCTCTGATATAGAATAGGAAGGAGTGGAGGGCAAGGATAATAAAAGCAAACCCCAAGTAATTAAGACAAATGCTAAGAAGAAGAAAAGGAGATAATTTTTAACAACCCATAAATGAAAGCAAAGAAGAATATGTAATAATATGTTAACGACATCTGACATATGCAGTGCCAACGAAACCTTTCGTCTGACACCAGAGCTACTAAAGCCAGCTGGCATACGACAGCTGTAGTAGTCGTTTAAGAGCTATTCATATCATCACTTGCATGAAGAACAACTCTTGTGTGAGTTATCACGTCAGTGAAGAATGATTATTATCAGCATTACCTCAAAGTCATTTACAACTCAGAATTATGACAAGGAATAATAATTGATTATTATTAGTTATTTTTAACTCAATGTTATTTTTTAAGTTACTGTATAAGCTTGCAATGCATTGCACATATTTGAGACCTCGTGGTACACGACTAGGTTTTAACTCGCTGTCCCATGCTAAGTCGGTATGTTTGGACTGATGATGATACGGGTCCAATCCCATGCAAAATCAGTATGTTTGGACTGATGATGATACGGGTCCAATCCCATGCAAAATCAGTATGTTTGGACTGATGATGACACGGGTCCAATACCATGCTAAGTCAATATGCTTGGACTGATGATGACACGGGTCCAATCCCATGCTAAGTCAATATGTTTGGACTGATGATGACACGGGTCCAAAATGTTGTCTAGTAGTTGAAGCCCATACAGTCTCAACCCAAACTGCTAAAACATCAAAATTACTCAAGATTACTTCATATTGTAAATATGGCCTCAATGTTATTAGATTAAGTCACTGTATCTCTGAGATTTGTAAACAAACGGTCAGTGCCAGTATTTTTAGATGTTATTTGTAAACAAACGGTCAGTGCCGATATTGTGGACGTTATTTGTAAACAAACGGCGAGTGCCAGTGTTTTGGGGTATTATTTACAAACAGACGGTCAGTACCAATGTTTTAATATATTATTGGAGCCAATATATATATATACACGCGTATACGTATAATCATTGTGTGTGCAGTTAAATGTGGAGGTTATTTCACAAAATATGAGTAAATTATTTGGAAGCATTATGATGTTATGTGTAATTAATGTACATTTGCAAACTGGTCTTTTGTATTGGCTAAGAAGAGTCTGGAATTGAAAAGAAAAATTCATTGGTTTGTTGTAATTATTTTTTTGTTTTCCACTTTTTAGGAGCTCACTGAGGAGCCAAAACTCTTCCACGAGGGTGCCACAAGGTTTGATGTTATACAAGGCGAGTTAGGTGAGAATGTATCTTATTTAGAATGAGTGCTTTCTGTTAAAACTCAGTGATTTGATGTTACATAACCTTCTTAACGTTATGCTTATCCATATTTTCTTTGTTTGCTGTTAAGCGCAAAGCTACACAATGGGCTATCTGTCCGAATTGTAGCGTCATAAGCCATTAAACTGAGCTGAGCTAACGAGACCTTCATCCTTGCGTATCCAGACTTTTTGCTTTACATTAGAATATACAGAGTATCTTTACTTGCTTTTAAAAGATTTTTTCTTAAAACGATTCGACATGAAATTGCATAACAAATACGCGAATATATTTTATAAGCTTTTTGGTGCAAACACACACAAAATTTATAACTTATTGTTTTACTTCGTACGTTTTTTTTTTTTTTGTTCCTTCATTATGAACACGATGAAAAGTAGTTAGGCCATCTATTATAATTTTATCAGAATGAACGTAATATAGCTGAATTGATTTTAATATTATCGTTTGCGTAGTTAAGATAAAGTTTAGGTAAAGAAGGCTGCGCTCAATTGGCAACTCTTATGGACCGCATCTGCTCACAGTTCTTTATTCCATGGCGTTAATTGTTAAACTAGTAAATATCTGATACTGTTGTCTACGTTATCTTTATCTTAACTGTTTATTTGTTGTTAGACACGTCAAAACATTTTGATTATTATTATTTTTGTTGTTGTTGTTTGTTTTTTTTTAAGTGGAGGCCGATGAAGGATTCAGTAAATGTCTTTTAATTGTGTACATGTGCAACTTTATTTTAATTATTTGATTTTAACATTACATGTGTGCTGATCATTAATACTGTAAACAGTTTCTATTGTCGGAGAGATTATATTGAATTAATATATAACAAATTCAAAGTCCAGTTTAATTTTTTGTTTGTTTATTTGTTGAAATTCGTCCCAAGCTACGCGATGGCTGTCTACACTAGCCGTACCTAATTTTGAAGTTATGGACTAAAAGGAAGGCAGCTAGTCATCCCTACCACCGTCAACACTTCTACTATTATTTTCCCAACTAATAGTAGGATTGACTGTCACATTATAACTCCTCCACGGTCGAAAGGCCGAGCACTTTAGACGATGAGTTTCGATCCCGTGACCCACAGATTCCGATTTGAGTGCTCTAATCACCATGCCAGACAACACGTTTACTTACTGATAACGTTTTTCTTTTGTTGTTAAGCACGAAGCTACACAGTGGGCTGTCTGTGCTCTACTCACCGTAGGTAGTGAAACCAGAAGGGGCCACTGGGAGGGGCTCTTAATGATAACAAAAAACGTTTTATTTCTTTTTACTACAACTTTACCACTTCTCCGGTTAGCTTAATTAACGATCACTGATAGGCCTAAGTTCACGGTTGACGTTAATAAAACAATTTCACTTTCTTGCCTATTTTTTTGTGCGTAAGATACTTGTTATTTGTCTATTTCTTCGTCGATATCCAAACTCAATATTGACAAAAGTGAAGTAACTAACTGGTTGACAATAACAAACTAAAAAGTTTGCTAACTCAGTGATCAGTCGTCTACTCTAAACTAACTCGTGTTTTGTACACCTCAAATCGTTTTCTAAACTTTAAAGAAGGTTCTAATCATTAAGTCACATCAATCACATAACATCAAATTTCTTTCAGGCCAAACAATAATACAAACATCTAAATTAAAATAATTGAATGAAAGAAATAACTGCAAATATAATTTGCAGTTTCGCTAGTAGACATAGTTTCAAAATATTATAAATGTTTATAAACATGTGAAGTTTTATTAGTTTTAGTTCGTTTCGAAGGACATACGAGTATAAGTGATGTCAAAAATGGTTTGTAATTTTTGGAGTTGTTAGTGTGAACGACGATTTTTTTGTTTAATTCAAAATGAGAATACCAATACGTAGTAACCTAATTCTTAATATATTATTACATTTATGCAACCATAGTGAAAGCAATATAGTACGTTTTTTGATGTTGCAAAATACTTTTATCCAAATGATGAAACTGTTCCTATGCAGAATAAGATAAAATACGTGTATATCTCATATGCTAAATCTTTTTTTTTGGGGGGGGGGGTTATTACATTACTGCCTGGCCTGACTTTCTATTATAATTTCGCCTGTAACATCACAGTTTAAGTGCTGTGTTTGTAATTCTTCCTTATTACCAAAATTGTGAGTGAATAGCATTGCAAACGCCATAAATCTTTATGGTTATCATATATTGTCTTACATTTTTCAACAGCTGTAATAATCATTTTTACGAAATGCTAAAATATATTGATTATGTTGATTGAAACAAGAAACCCCTTTACAGTAAACAGATTACAACTGTGTTGATAAGGTTTACATCTCGTTCTTTCAAGAGTGCTAACTGATGTAATACGTGGAAGACATAGGAGGGGGGTTAGTTGATTATATCAACGCTGACCACCTATGTCACTTCCCGAGGGATATGCCAGGTTTGTGATAGTCGGTCCAGTTATTTCACGGTTATTAAAGACCCAAACTTATGTCAAATAATGATTTAGATATATATAAACAAGTGCATGTTCAGTTTTAGACTTTAAAAACTGCTGTATTTATATCAAATAAGAGTTATTTTTTGATAGAAAACTTTGTATATTTAACGTTTTTTAATGACGTATTGATCATCGTCGAGATATAATTTCGTGTCTATTAAAATAATGTTTAAGTATGGCTGCCTTGCGTTTACGAAAGAAATAATAATAATATAAACATTGTTGACTTGTGATTTTACCTTTACTACGCCGTCTTTATACCTATCATTTGAGGGTGGTCGGAGTGACAGTTGATGGGCAAATTTCTAACCGTAATTAGTTTTTATAGTAAGTAACGCTTCACGGTACAGCAGGGCATTGAGATTTTTTAAAACTCGTTTAAAGCATTGGCCTATTACTTTTAAATTTACAAGTTATTCATGATAAATACTTTATTTTATAGAACATAAATATTGATATATTGAATAACAAGACATGTTTGTGTGATCTCCAGGTGACTGCTGGCTGCTTGCTGCAATGGCCAATCTAACCCTCAATCAAGCTTTGTTTTACCGGGTCGTTCCTTATGATCAAGGGTTCGACGATGACTATGCTGGAATCTTCCATTTCCGTTTCTGGCAGTACGGCCGCTGGATTGATGTGGTTGTAGATGACCGTCTTCCAACTTGTAATGATACTTTAGTGTTCATGCATTCTAAAGAACAAACCGAATTTTGGAGTGCTCTTCTCGAAAAGGCTTACGCCAAGTAAGTATAAACCATAAAAGTAAGGTATGTGATCAATCCATGTCATGAAATTTCTATAGGGCAAACTTTAAGAAACTGCAATCGTTATGTATGTGCAGATTCGGCAAAGAGACTGCTTGTCATTTTTCTTCTTGAGTAGAATTACTTAGAGTAAATGGCAAACCCGTTGATGGTGTCTTGAAGCCAGCCAGTTTCTATGGCTACGTTGTAGTTTCGGTATTTATGTTGGTCAGGGTTATTTAGTGTAAAAGACATAACCCATTGATGGTGTTATGTAGCCAGCCAGTTTTTATAGGTGCACAGTAGTTTTGGTGTTAATTCGACGTCGTGAGCTACGCTTTGGAAATTGATATTACTTGAAGTTGTTGTTGTTTTGTCAAGCTAAAGATAATATTTTAAAGTAGTAACCTGAGAATGTAATTAATTCTAAATCTTTAAGCTTGTTGTAGTGTATCCGTGTTGGATTATTGTATAACCATTTTATGAAGTAGTTACAGGTTTGTTTTTGTACTAACATTTATCCTTTTTTTATTGCAAAAGAGAGTTTGAGTCTCTCGAGCTTTCTATCTAGATTTGGCATCAATATTTCCATTAGCTTGCCGTTTTTTAAATCATAAGTTGAAACCTCTTATAATATGTTAGATTATAAAAGTCATTCCATGATCAGCAGAACGCTATAACTATGTCTGGCTAAGTTGATAGTAAAGAATACCTTTCAGTGGAGATGCATATGACGTACAATGCACTTGAATTGTTTCTGGTAAGTTTTCTCTATTCTCCTTTGTTTCGTTGTCTTCAATAGAAATCGTTGCACAAGGATAAGAGCTGAGTGATACTTACTTGATTGAGTCGTACTTTACCGGACAAGGATAAGAGCTGAGTGATACTTACTTGATTGAAATGTACTTGACCGGACAAGGATAAGAGCTGAGTGATACTTACTTGAGTGAGTCGTACTTGACCGGACAAGGTTAAGAGCTGAGTGAGTCGTACTTGACCGGACAAGGATAAGAGCTGATTGATACTTACTTGAGTGAGTCGTACTTGACCGGACAAGGATAAGAGCTGATTAATACTTACTTGAGTGAGTCGTACTTGACCGGACAAGGATAAGAGCTGATTGATACTTACTTGAGTGAGTCGTACTTGACTGGACAAGGATAAGAGCTGATTGATACTTACTTGAGTGAGTCGTACTTGACCAGACAAGGATAAGAGCTGATTGATACTTACTTGAGTGAGTCGTACTTGACCGGACAAGGATAAGAGCTGATTGATACTTACTTGAGTGAGTCGTACTTTACCGGACAAGGATAAGAGCTGTTTGATACTTACTTCAGTGATTCTACTTGGCCGGTGATTAGTGTGCATAGTCGGGGATCGGTAGGTCCAAGATTCGCGCCACGATTGCTACTGAACACTCTTCGCACTTTCAAGCTGGATGGCGTTATAAGAATTACAATCAATATCATTACTGGATTTAAAACCCTTGTGGTGACAGGTGCCACAGTCTGTTTGCCTTCTCTATGGTCAGTATTTCAAAATTAGGGACAGTTATGCCTAAACTTTAGAGGTTTGTGATATAACTGTATAGCTTGTATGATAAAGTTCGTGAGAAATTGTGAGACACCTTTTTCCTTACAGTCTAACATTTATATTAAAGTAAGGACCTTATACAGCAAAGCACGTAATTGTTTGATTTTCATAACAATCATTTATTAAACACACACACACAGATAATAATTTGTTTATAATTATTTAGTCATCATGTTTAGAATAAGATATTACAATATTAGGAAAATCAGAATAACATGATGGTTTGAATTGAAGATTCGAATTATTTGCTAACACTGGGTACAAAGACTGGGTGTCAAAATTGTTTGTTTGTTTGTTTTTTGGAATTTCGCGCAAAGCTACACGAGGGCTATCTGCGCTAGCCGTCCCTAATTTAGCAGTGTAAGACTAGAGGGAAGGCAGCTAGTCATTACCACCCACCACCAACTCTTGGGCTACTCTTTTACCAACGAATAGTGGGATTGACCGTCACATTAAAACGCCCCCACGGCTGAAAGGGCGAGCATGTTTGGTGGGATGCGGATTCGAACCCGCAACTCTCAGATTGTGAGTCGAGCGCCTTATCCACCTGGCCATGCCGGGCCATCAAAATTGTTATAGTGATCAACTATCATATGGGACTATCGTGCTCAAATCCCAGCGGATTCAAGATTTTATATCACTTTTTTTAATATATTTATTATCATATTTACAACTAACTCTTTGAATATTCGAAAAAATAAGAATACATTTATAGATTAAATCGGAGATAATTTCATATTACCTAATAAACACCAATGACGGGCATATATGAAAACAACTTGAATATCTTTATGCCCAGTAGATGGCACTACAGTACATTATTATTGATATTTTTCACCTTCTTTAAGAGATTTTTAAAAATTTAATCAAAAATGTTATACGCATTTTAAATGAAAAGTTGTACCTTCGTTCATTTGCCATTCACCATAGAATTGTTTGTCTTTGCCATCACAATTAATAAGTCGCAGGGTCAGACATTTGACCATGTAGGAATATTTTTTTCAAGAACAAGGTTTTTTGCATAGTTCAAGAAGAATATATATATATAATGTATATAATTCAAAATTTTAATGAACGACCACTTAGAGGTGATAACAAAACATGCACAAAAGTTGTTTTCGCGAAATAATAGAAAAAATAATAAACATTTTTATACATATGTTAGTATTATATGATTAATTTGTAGAAAACATATTCATAAAACATTTATTTAGATTTAATTTTCTGAAGAAAATTTCATCAGCATTTATCCTCATATGACGAGCATTCACCTAGTATACATTTAATTATTGTTACTGGAATGTTCTCCAACTTTCTTTAAAGTGGTCATTAAAATCAGAACGATTAAAATATTGCTTTAATATATTTTTACTCAAAATTATACTCTATATGATCAAGTCAGAGATTTAACCAAACTTTGATAACTGTCGAGTGTTGTGAGGTAATGTTTATACCAGCTAATATACTCATTCAATACACAAGGAATCTGCAGTGGTTACATAGTAGGGCCAGATCAAAAGATGATCCTCATATGTCACTTCCTAAGTGCCCTAAGGGTGCCTTAGAAGTGTAGTAGAAATCAATAGAGTACTATAGAGAACACATAGCATTATCAGGGTGTGACATTGGCAGGGTCAGATCAAAACGCCAATCTATGGAGCTGTAAGGGTGCTTGTCTAGTTTGGATGAGATCGGTCAAAAGTATACACGTGAAAAGCTGATACATAAACATACAAACGACGCTTCTCTGCTGCTGGACGGCGAAACCGGTAAGAATGGTTCTGTACAAGCGTGAAATCAGGTGAAAGTGAACAGTTGGATGTTCTATCGATCATTGATTTGTTTTTGATAAATCACAAGTTTTAGGTAGTGATGCTTTAAAAGGAACTTTACTTTAGGCATTTTTATTTATTATATTGTCAAAATGGCAAGTTACTTTTCGTTAATTAATGAAAGTTCTCATTCGTTTAAGGTTTTAACTGTGTGAACCATTATATCCAACTGTTTCGTGCTTTAACTTGGTGAACCATTATATCCAGCTGTTTCAGGCTCTAACTTTATGAAATATTATTTCTAATTACTTCATGCTTTAAATATGTGAACCATTATATCCAACTGTTTCATGCTTTAACTGTGTGAACCATTATATCCAACTGTTTAATGCTTTAACTGTGTGAACCATCAAATCTAACTGTTTCATGCTTTAACTGTGTGAACCATAATATTCAACTGTTCCAGGCTCTAACTTTATGAAACATTATTTCCAATTACTTCATGTTTTAACTATGTGAATCATCATATCCAACTGTTTCATGTTTTAACTGTGTGAACCATTATAACCATCTGTTCCAGGCTCTAACTTTATGAACCATTATTTCTAATTACTTCATGCTTTAACTATGTGAACCATAATATTCAACTGTTCCAGGCTCTAACTTTATGAAACATTATTTCCAATTACTTCATGCTTTAACTATGTGAACCATCATATCCAACTGTTTCATGCTTTAACTGTGTGAACCATCAAATCTAACTGTTTCATGCTTTAACTGTGTGAGCCATTATATCCATCTGTTTCATGCTTTAACTGTGTGAACTATTATGTCCAGATGTTTCAGGCTTTAACTTTATGAGCAAATATTTTCAGTAAACATGGCATCTGTCAACTAATTATCCACTGCATTCACACATTACTTGAGATTTATTAGGGTATTTATATTCGAGTACCAGTGTGTGTTCTCAGCTGTTCCTGGTTCTACTTATATGAGCTAATATATTAAAATCAATTGTCATAATAAATTTTCATTATTTTTCCTTCACTTAGAATAAAAGAACTGAAGAGGGATTGCATTTTTGTTGTTAAAACAATAATTAAAATATGAAACCCATTTTTTACCTTATAAAAGTCACATTTTCCACACAATAATCCCAATAAAACGGTCAAAGCAGTAATTGCTATAGCTAATAATCAGCACTTGTTATAATAGCTTGGATGGTGTAAGAGTTGGCACAAGGTTACTTAGGAGAGTTTGTCCTCTTGCTAGGTTACATGGATCTTACGAAGCACTGAAAGGAGGGACAACATGCGAGGCTATGGAAGATTTTACTGGAGGTTTAACAGAATTTTACGAGATTCAGAAAGCACCAGATAACTTGTTTAGAATCATGTTGAAAGCCTACGAAAGATGGTCTTTAATGGGATGTGCTGTAGAGGTAAGAGTCGTAATTTCTCTCTCACAACTAAAATTGTTGAAATATAAAGCTCAGTTTTGCTCTGTTTGTCGATTCGTGTGGCTACTGATGAGCAAACTTCCCAGAAATCGGTCTAACACAATGTCAAGTGGCGAATCGAATGAACTTCACTCAAATTTTCTTGCTAAAATTCAAAATGTTTGGGAAGAGTAAAATAAAAACTACATCTTAAAAAATAGTTTATCCAGTAAATAATTCAGAAAAATAAATTAACACCAATAACCCTATGTGTTCTTCAAGCGTTATTATAAATTAAGGTTCACAGTGGTGCATAAACGACAAAAGTAAAATCACACACACACACAGGTAAAGGTACGAATTACCTGAATAACAGCTGTTATGAATTACTATAAAGAAGTCAACGTAATTTTTTTTCAATTTCACACAAAGATTCCATAGAAAGTTAAGGTTTCATTGTTTTTGTAAAATTTTTACTGTGTATTATAAAAGATGAAATTTTCACACCTAATAGTCGAGCTGTTTCTTTTAACTTGTTTGGTAAAAATAATGCAAAGTCCAGTCCACTTAACAATAACGAATAATTTGTTTCCTCTATAACATTTACCACAGGCTATGTTCACTGGTAAGCCTAACTTAACAAACAACGTTTCAACGATAATTCTGAGACTAATGCTACACTTAATCACAAATAAACTTATTTGCAGAATTTCCTCGCTAAGTGATCGATAAAATGCTAACCAACTTATTAAATATCGATCACAGATGAACAGATGCAATAACTCTGACTTTTAGACTCATTAACTGACACTCAACTGATTAGCTCATTAACTTACTTATTCAGTTTGACCTTTTTATTTTGTACTAGTTTTCTGTTTATTATAGGAAGCTTCTAGATGTTTGACCATCATCACATCATTACAAGCTCCCTCTATCAAACAAACATCTAAAATTAAAATATTCAAAATATAGTATACAGTATTGCCTCTTCCTGGATTCTGAAATATCTTGAAAAATCCTACTACACAAATAAAACAGGGCAATAAACCTTAAATCTCCATAGCAATAAAGTCATTAGTTAAAATTGACTTAAATATTCCCAATTAAGCATTACAATCACTAAATTATTAATTAAAATGTTAAAGTAAAAAAATTCAAATTAACAAAATAATGATTCATAATTCTGTCCCTGATCTAGTGAGTTCCATAGGTACCTCAAATCTTGAAAAAATTCATTGACGATTCTCCTTGGTAGAGTTTTTGCTTCCTAGTTAGGGACAACATATGTTTCTGGCCATTTAATGAAGTATACCATCATAACTGTGACAGAAGACCAAGCCCTTTGACAGCAACTCTCTCAAATCATGCTTTGACACAGTACTGCTGTAGTTACCCATGCTCTTTCTTTCATGGGCCTTTCCATTCACAGTATAGTTTAAATGACTTACACCAGTTCTCTCTCTCTCTCTCTCTCAAATCAACCCAATAGAAATGTCATCTTACTCTCCAGTGCCATCTTAATACTTAAGTTTTCAGCTATTGAATGGTTGATGAGATGGCATATTACTTCTGAATGTAGAGTCTGTGGAAGTACCAACATTAATGTTATTTCTCATCGTTATCTTCTAATTTCTGACGTAAGTTCTCTTGTAGACATAACGAATCCTACTATGCCCAATACATTTTTGTGGCCATCCCATCTTGGACTATACTCTGTTGTACTTTAGGTTGGCTATCTTTACTATCTTCTACTTCCATCTTTTCACATCTTTTGCAACCTTCATTAAAACGTGGTATCCAGGATAATGCATTTGTGTTTCCTTGTTTCTATCCATAGTGATGAACAATGTTAAATTTGTACTCCTGAAGTTTCTGGAGCCATCTTGCTATCTGGACTTCTGGAGTACGAAAATTCACCAGCCACTTTAATGATTCATGATCTGTCCAGAATGTAAACTTTTGCCCATCTTACTATAATGGACATAGAGTGTATATACGTATCTATGTATTTGACGGAAATAATAAATACAGTGTGGCGCCGTCTATTGAATGGCACCACAAACAAAAATCCATAACAAATTTCACACTTTGTGTATTCCAGATTCTGACAATTAAAAAAAAAAAACGTTTCTTTATCATAAAACACAATTTTAAATAAAAGTACTCTCATCCCAACAAGAACACGACTTTCACTTGGACTGTACGTAAGGGTTTGATTATATCTTTATTGATGTAATCTGTAAATATAGTACTAAGAAAATGAAGCTCTTAAAAAAATGTTATTTTTTCAATAAAGGGGCCATTTTTGATATATAAAACATTACAGTTTATATCAGCACAATCCGAACACTTTTCCCGTGCAGAACTTCCCAAAAAAATCATTTTTTTAGAAAATGTTCACTATTTCTAAACGTTTTTCAATGATTTATTAATACTACGATTAGTAATTAATAGCACAAACAGCCGCCCGTAGGGCAGTATTTCTGATAGTATAGATAATGAGAGAAATGACCAGGACTCAAGCAACACTTAGTAGCCCTTTTCAAGTTGTACAGTACATCATTTCTGCAGCATTCATTGCCTTGATATAAAGGCAATCAAATTTTCTTTTCCATGTTGTACTTTTGATAACACTGTTCCCATTGCAAACTCACTGGCATCTGTATCTAATATGAGTGGATCTTCAAGAGTTGAGTATGCTAATACAGGAGTAGTGGTTAATTCTGTCTTCAGTTTGCTGAATGTTTGTTCACAATCAGCAGTCCAACAATACACATTTGGTTTTTCAAGTAATTCGTGTAGAAGACATGCTGTGTCAGGAAATGATTTTAAAAGACGAAGGTAGTACGAACACAGTCTTAGAAATTATCTTAGCTCATGCAAGTTCTTTGGTGTCGGCTATTTCTGAATAGTTTCAATCTTAGATAGATCTGTAGAAACTCCCTATACGTTGACTGTTGACGGAACCATTCGGGTTTCTTAAGTGTCATTTTAAGGTTCTTTTTCCTCAGCTGATCCGGAATATTCCTTAGTCCATCATTAGCATTACCAAAGGCCTTCCAATGTGTGATTATGTCATCCAAATAGATGAGTACGATATTCCAGGATACTTAAGAGAAAGCACACACTATTATTCATTGAAATGTAGTAGGTTCATTACATAATCAAAATTGTAACGCTACAGATTGCCAAAATCCATTTCTTGCAGTAAATACTGTCTTCTCTCTACTTGCTATGTCGACTTATACTTACCAATAACTGCTCTTAAGATCTAATGTTAAAAACAACTATTTTGATCCAGAAAGAGCATCCAAAGTAGTCAATTCTTTGTATTGAGTTGGCATCCTTTTTGTGACTTCATTCTTTCTCTAGTCCACATAAGGCCTTTTGGATTCAATAGGTTTACAATAGGCGGTGTCAAAGGAATAATACTTGGTTCTATTACCCCTCGTTCTTTTATGGCTTCTATTTCTCTGAAAGCCTCAAGACAGTTTTGCAGTTAGGAATCGTCTGGCTAACTAACGCATTGATGCTGCATCTTCATTATCAATCTTATGAGGTTTTAGTTGTTTGGCCCAAATAATGAGGTTCACTGAAGAAGGTATTTTGTAATCTATGACATTTATCATCTGTTAGACCACCACAGTTCCGATTATACAGCTCTTGTGCGTTTTTAAACTGTCTTTATATGAGGATTTGCTATCATAATTCCAATACCTTACTTCAAAGGAGACTATTTCTAATGTTCTTTTATGCAGAACATATTTGCATCTTCTAATGCATCATCCAGAATTGAATCAAACTTTATAGTTTGTTATGTTCATGCCCTAGCGATGATATTTTTATTCTTAAGATCCACGAGATGTCTTCCAACCATTAATCCCTCAGGACACACTGGGGTGTGTAGTTTTGATATGAGTATTTCACGTTTTGATGGTACAATGACAACCCTCCTTGTTATTGCTAGATATCCAATCTCTGGTGTAGTAACTGTTACGTAGTGCACAAGAATTTTCTGGTCATAAAATTTGAAGGTAGCCTAATTTCGCATCCAATTTTCCACATGAAGTCAGTTCCCAATATGAGGCGGGTCGTGGGTTCGAAATCCCATCACAAAACATGCTCGCCTTTTCAGCCGTGGGGGCATTATAATCTTACAGTCAACCCCACTAGTCATTGGTAAAAGAGCAGCCTAAGAGTTGGCGGTGGGCGGTGTTGACTAGCTGCCTTCCCTCTAATCTATCGCTACTAAGTTAGGGATGGCTAGCACAGATGACCCTCGAATAGCTTTGCACAAAATTCAAAACAAACCAAACCAAGTTCCCAATATGCACTCTTTCTCAATGTCAATTATCCACACATTATGAAGAGTAGAGTAGCTTTCAACTTTGTTCTTGCTAAATTTTATGTTTACTTGCTGTTCGCATCAATTTATCTTTTTTTTTCATCTCTAGATGCAATTTCCCCGCCTTCCATTACCAAATCTAATCGATTACTTCTAAATTAGGGACGAATAGAGCAGATAGCCCTCGAATATCTTTGTGTTAAATTTTACAATCAAACAAACAAACCCAACAATAAACTAGTGGAATCGTGAACTGGTTTCTTTAGATAATTAACTTCTTATCTCATGGATATGGTATTCTCAGCTAACTTTTGCCTTATCTTTCCAGATAATTCTTGTTTTTACAATCTCTGGTAAGCTATTTCTTGTTACTTTTATCTGGTTGGGCTATAAGACTCATCCTTAGGGTATTACCTCCTTGGTGTATTAACAGCTGTTGATTTTGCACAAGCTCGGATGTAATGACCATGTTTCCGACATTTATAACAGTTCCCTTTTCCTGACACCCTTTGAAAGGAATGATTATTCCCTACAGGTTTTTGTTTGTAGTTCTTAGCAATATGTCATTTCTAGTTGCATTTGAAAGATCCATTGCCTTGTGGTTTATTATCTACATTCTGTTTCACTAGTTGCCCAACTAATCCTTGCATTTCTTATAGACTGTCATCAGGGGAAGTTGATGTTTCAAGACTATCTGATCTAATGATCATATAACTTCTAGATTTAGCTGTTTATTTGCAATCTTAATGGATTTAGGTTCTATTGCTAACTGAATCATTTCACGTGTAGCATCTGGATAAGATAATTGGGCAAGCCTTTCGCATTCTTCCAAGAGTTTGACTAACCATACCCTGCTCTGGAACTTTGTTTCGGATACTTCCTTTCGGTATGTCACTCCATACCTGTTGAATAATGCAGTTTCAATAGCTTGATAGTTGTTACAGGTCTCAGCTGGAAGGTTTTTCTTTTATTTAATGTTGTTAAAGCTGTTTCTTTTGTATGGGCCGTAGGATAAATAGTTTATTGCTCATTATTCCATCAATTCACTATGGAAATTATTTCGAACTAAGTCTGATATGCCTCCCACAGCATTTTCCCCAAAATAATCCACTGGTTTCTTGATTGGGTGATACTGTTTACCTGGACAACTAAATTCTGAAACTGGATTTGGTAGTGTCATGGCGGGAGTCGTCTGGGAAGGTCTTGAAATCACAGATGCCACAGCGGTAGTAGTAACAGAAGTAAACCAAATAGGTTCTTCTGTTCCATATTTAATCGTTTAAACTTTTAGAATTCTTGGATGGATGCAGAAAGAGGTATGGTTACTTTGATATTTGCATTTACCACTTCGTTTTACAAATATTTTATTCTGTCATCGATATTCTTTTTTTTTTTGCATGCTTTAAATAATACATTTGTTTCTTTCTCTTCTCTCAAATTCTCGTGTTTTACCTCTTGATCTTGTCTTAATTTTCTGCCCGCCTAACTCACAAATAACCTTACTTGTGGATTTTTCTTGCTAATCAATCAATAACAAACACGCTGGCAGACTAACTTACTAAATCGATCATTGCCGGAACAGACGCAATAACTTTCACTATCTAACTCACTAACTGACGCTGAACTGATTAACTCGTTAACTCATCCACTCAATCTGACATTTTAACATTGTGCTAGTTTTTTACTTATTGTAGGAATCCTCTAGACGTTGTGTCGTCATTACGTCACACAAACATCTAAATTAAAATATTGGAAATATAGCTTACAGCAATATAATGAAGCTTCGTAGAAGATAACAAAAGCTATTGATCAACAAATATAATATATCAAAGTTTCTACGTTATTTGTACAGCTTTCTCAGATTAAAAGCCCTTAATGGGCAATCTATTAGCCATCTTTAATCGATAATGGTAATAGGAGTTTATGCTTTGCTATTGTGTTTAACTGAAGGACAATTTTTAGACTCGTCTTCCTACATTAGTACACATTTTAACAAAACGTTCTGATTAAATTGAGGTATTATTCCCAGATTTCTAAGTTGCTCTGTTACATAAACTCGAATTTGTTTTCCATTTTGTTGACAAAACGTTTTTCTTGCCATCTTTTTCCAGCCGGATAGTGATGTCACCGAGATGGAACAAGACAATGGATTAATTAAAGGTCATGCATATAGCGTTACTGCCATCCGTATGGTGGGTATTACTCTTGAATAGTGTGTTCCTAAAGTAAGGGTATTCGTTAGGAGTAGAGTTAACGTGACAAAGGGAGATCCGATACTCTGAACATTTCAAGAGGGCAAACCTTTCTTCTTTTGAACATTTTGATGATGACTGATATATTTTTGTTATATTAAACGCACACTATCAGTAAGGGCATTTTTATTACCTCGATCACATAGAATCTACATACAGGATGACTGTAATACGTGGCTCTTTACTGGAATTGAATGTCTAACTATAAAGTGATTAAGTGTGTTGGTAGTAACAGCCTGACGATCTTTAAGCATAATTTCATCGTTACATAATGGCAATTTTGCTTTTAAGAGTTTATAAACATTTTCCTAATATAATTATATACGTGACTTGGGTTAGAGATTTTTTTTCGAAAATTAAAATAGGTTTACACAATCCGATTATAAAGCCGCCACAGTTAAGTGAATATTGGTGTTGAATTTATGAACGAATAGCGTTATCAACGTAGTATTATTGTGTTGTTGTTTCCTTGGCTCAATTTTTAGCTTTGCACTATTTGCTCTCTGTCCACCGCAGGTAATTGAACCCCCCTTTTTTTTGCGCCGTAAAACCGTAAAATTACCGCTCACCCACTGGGTGGCCCGGCATGGCTAGGTGGTTAGGGCACTTTAATTGCAATCTGAGGGTCGCAGGTTCAAATCCCCATCCCACCAAACATACTCGCTCTTTCAGCCGTGGGTTCGTTATAATGTGAGGGTCAATCCCAGTATCCGTTGGTAACAGAGTAGCCCAAGAGCTGGCGGTGGGTGGTGATGACTAGTTTCCTTCCCTCTAGTCTTTTACTGCTAAATTAGGGACGGCTAGCGCAGATAACCCTCGTGTAGCTTTGGGCGAAATTCAAAACAAACCACCCACTGGGACAGTATAGTTATGAAAATAACTAACTAATAGTTACTCAAAAGATGCGACTTTCATGTTTCTGCCAGAATAAACTAAACTTTAGGGTGTTGATGGCTTATATTCTGGAAAACGCGCCTTCACAGAGGCATAGTGATTTTGCTAGGGTGCTATTCAATTGTAAAATGGCAGGGAATTTTCTTGTAAAGCAATATTTCTTGGCTTTTCACTCTTCCAAAGACACCTGTGAATTCAAGAATATAATAACTTAAACTCATGCCCAGTCATTGGTTTGAGTTGCATTTAAACGTCTTTGTTCTTTTAATTTTAATCTTCAAATCACGAGTTAATCGTTTTGGTTTGTTTGTTAGAAATTAAGCACAAAGCTATACAATGGGCTATCTGTGCTCTGCTCACCACAGGTATCGAAACCCGGTTTCTAGCGTTGTGAGTCCGCAGACATACCGCTTTGCCACTGGGGGCGTTTTGGTTGGAACTTTGAACAAGAGAAAATCCGATAGATCAGTTCCTTGTATAAAACTTTACATAATCAGGCTCGTACGCAGAATGTTTGAAAGAGGGTTTCTAATTTGTGAGATCAAAAGCCAATACATATTGTGCAAAGCATGCTAATGCTACGTGGGTCTGGGGGCATGTCCCCCTCCCAAAAACAAAAAAATAGGTGTTTTGAGATTAAATCTGGAAACAATTTTGCATGAAATATAGGTTAAACAATTGCATGGCTGTTCACATAAAACCCACAAACATCTAATGAAAAGTCAACAAATCATCATTCTGTTGTATGGGGAGTTAGATTTAAATTAGCATCCATATGTATGTTATATTGTAGTAAAGTACTGTACTATCTACATGCAGAGTAGTTATTAATTGTTAATTTATATTACTAATTTAAACAACTTTGTATAGCAACAGTATATTAGCTATTTCAATCATTGGCTATCATATACGTACAGGTATGCACTACTGAAATAACATGTTAACATGCTCCATTCTTCTGGGGTACTTTTCCATAAATAAATTACACACAGTTTCAATGTTGATAGCAGTGTCATAATGATTATGTATTAAAGCTAGAGCACTCAGTCTTTCTTCGGTTTGCTTACACCTCAGGTAATTATTCACTATGTATGAACTTTGACTAAAAAGAGACAATTATTTAAAGCTGTGGATACAATTGTGATAACCAACAATGTATCAAACATTTGTATGTATGTGTGACTTGTTTTAATATATTATTTTAAAACACGTGGGCTATGTTGCTGTTTGTTTATTGTTGAAATTTATTGCCAACAAGTCAAAGACACCTACTGTAAATAATCTGGCTTACAAAGCCTGACAGTAGAAATACGGCTTCGGCCTTCCAATTACAAAGTGTCAGCAGAAGCAATTAAATGCAACTACTTCAAGCCAACAAATGCTGATGCGTCATCAAAAGAATTTGGACTATGTATAAAACGTTAAAAACCATAAGCAGCTGCGCTAAAAGCATAATTTGTTTACATCACAAAAATAGGTGGTTTGCCTGAATCCTCCCTGCGTATGTGCGTGATAATTTAGTCTTCGATTTCTTGCTTCAAATAATAAATGAAGTGTTGTTTTTTAATTAACATACTTTCCAAAGCAATGCTACTTTAGTTCAGTGCTTTTTTTCATTTCTATCTTGATTTACGCTGTAAGCACATATTCATAACGCCTGGACACCCTGTGCATTTAGTAGAAATAACAATAAATGTTCTCCAACTATTTCTTACGACTTTTTGGTTGAGGTCCGATCAGTCATATCTATGTCTATCAAACACTGATCCATTTAAGACAGTGAAAATAGTTACATTATAGTTAGAAAAGAACGAAATAACTATTTTTCTTGCTCTTATTGATCGATTTTAAATATTTTGGATGACCTCTCCTTCTGATCACTATGACTTCAACAGGAGCCCCATTGTAACCGTATACATAATACTTGCAATTGTTGTAAACATCGAACCTTGTTCCTGCAACTGAGAATAGGATAAACACGAGTATCTGACATTCTCCCAGTGTATATTGACTAGTTTAGCACTATAAACAGGTCTTCTATAGGTAAATTGCTTTTGCAAGAGACAATGGACTTGCACTAAAATCTTGACACGAAAAGGTGGAAGAGCTAACTTTCAAATAAACATTTCTCCGCAAAAAATGAACCGAGGAACATAGTAGTTGTATTGTTTCTAATACTAAATTATCTCTAAAAGGCAACTTTAGTGCTTTTTAACATTTGTCGAATATTGTAATGACCAAAAGAGTACTAATTTCTTCACGATCGACTCCAGATTTTAGGATTAATTATTTGTTTCGGCACCTTTTATGAAATATTACGTGTGCATTATTGAACCATTTATTTCATTGATATGCAGTTTGTATGACTTGTTTCAATGTTTTTCTTAAAATAAGGAGTTTACGTGTGTGACTATAGATGGCGCATACTGTTAGCTAACACTACATCCGAATAAACTTATGAAATTTTCAGTCCACAGACAAAGATAAAAAAGTAGGGAAGACAGTTACTCCGATATGAAAAAGTCATTATCAGTTAGAAAAGTAATATTAACGAGTTACTATAAAAGATTAGTTAACAACCAAACCTTTCATTTTTGTTTTCCTGTTTAAGTAAAAAGAAAGGATCACATTTAAAGTAAATAATAATTCTCATAGAAATTCATAAATAAAATCTTGCAGTACTGTATTACTATTAGGTTGAAGTGGACACTCCAAGAGTATCTGGAAAGATCCCTTTGATCAGAATTCGTAATCCATGGGGTAACGAGTGTGAATGGAAAGGAGCCTGGAGTGATAGGTACTTTTTCATTTGTTTTAATGTTTAATTTTTTTCTATATTTTTTATACCTTATCAGTTTGATTTTTAGAACAATAATTTACAATTATGTTTAATTTGTAGTTTTTACATTTGACTCAAATAGCTATTTTTACATTGGGAGAAATTAGTATGTATTTGTAAAGTAACATTTTCAGATTTTTACTTGTTGGTTCATTTTTTTCACTGATATTCACGTTTTAGTGAAGAAAACAAATAAATAACCTGTATAATAACGCTGTATAATAATAATAATGGATAACTAACTGTGAGTGTGATTTTTTGTTACGTTATTCACACCACAAAAGTATTTTAGGTTATTAGTGGTGAGTAAATTAAGAACCACACGTAAACCAAACATTTTTACCCGTAACAGAAACGTGAGCTACAGGTTATTATTACTTTTAATACAAAAACATTCTTAATTTTATTATGATATTGCAGTAGTGCATGCAATCTTACCATCTTAACATAATATTAAAGAACAACAAGGGACGTTTGGTCCATCTTGGCTGTCCTATCCACCAAATTAAACCTTAAAAAAATAAAAAATAATTCAAAGCTAGCCATTGTCATTCAAATACTTATCCAGCTTTCCATTAAACTTCCTGAAATTAACTGCATCCACCACATCCAAAGGCAACCTGTTTGAGAAACTAATCACCCTGTTAGAAAAATATAGTTTTCTTAGCTGAAGATGACTTCTTCTCTGCCAAAATTGATATTTGTATCCCCTAGTCTTACCATTCCTATCATTAAATATGAAAAAAGGTGATGTATCAACACCACCAATTCCTTTAACAATCTTAAACACCTCAACCACATCCCCTAGCTCTAAATATTTTTAAAGAGAAAGCAAATCCAGAGATCTCAAACTATCATATGATAACATTTTCATCCCAGGTATCATTCTAGTAGCCCTTTCCTGAACTCTTTCCAAAAATTCCATGTCCTTTTTGAGGTAAGGGGTCCAAGACTGAACATAATACTCCAAATGTGGCCTAATCAATGGCCAGTGTAATGGAATTATAACCTTTTATGGCTTGTATTCAATATTTCTTTTGCTACAACTTAAAATCTTATTTGCCCTTCTACTAAAAATATCACATTGCTTGGATCTCTTAAGAAACTGATCAGCCAGAATACTAAGATCTTTTTCTTTCATAATTCTGTTAAGGTTATTCCCACCAAAATTATACTAATGATTCAAATTGTGATATCCCACATTTGTTACCCTGCATTGAATGATTTATTGGAATTGAAAGCCATCTGCCATTTATTTGCCTAAATAATCCAAATTCTTTTGTAATGCAGTAGCAACCTCTTTGTAGCCAGCAACAACCAAAATTTTAATGTCATCAGCAAACTTAAGTAATATAATAATCTTCAAATTAAAACAAGGGAACCAACATTTAATTACATATTTTTTACACATTTTCAGCTCTCCTGAGTGGACCATGGTCAATGAGAATGAAAGAAAAGAACTAGGACTTACGTTTGAACATGATGGAGAATTCTGGTGATTAATGGGATATTTGTTGTTGTTTTTAATGACATTTTTGAACTAGAGGAAGGAATCTGCCAAGTCTACACACTTAATAAAACATTTATTGAGATAAAATCAAAAAAATCTTCATTTGTTTCTCCCAGATTTCATGAGCAAAAACAGGTGATATTTAAAATTTTGTGAAATTAAGATTTTACATGCATTTGATTGAGAGTTCATGGTTTATATACAAAAGGATATTATTAAATTTTTCTCACAGTATTATCAGTTATTAAAGTAATAAAAAATAACTGGTTTACTTCAAGCCCTTGCTGTTTGTTTATTGAATCATGTGGTTTAAGTTCTTTTTTTTTATCACACCCGTCTTGTACTCTTTTTTTTTGTTGTTGTTGGTATTGTTTGAAATAAATGATTTAAGATCAACCTATTATAAAATGAAGTACATAATATTGACTATGGAGAAACTTGTTTGATCATAAGTTGTAAAGTAAGTGAATTGTTAAACAAATTACATGTGAACAGAAGGCACTGATAAATAAGATTTCATAGTTTTATTCCTTAATATTTTCAAACCAGTTTTAATGCCTGAGAGATTTTTTTTGTATCTTTTCAGGATGTCTTTTAGAGACTTTCTCCTGAACTTCAACAGGCTAGAAATCTGCAATCTTAACCCAGATTCTCTTGATGATGAGCCTCTCACACAGGTGTCCAAGAAGAAGTGGAACATGCACGTTTTTGAAAGCAGCTGGATTCCTGGATGTACTGCTGGAGGATGTAGAAACTACCCTGGTGAGGTGGAAAGAAGTCTGTCTGCTAGTTGATAATTTAATACTTTTTCTTTTATAATGCACAGTATTTACTACAGAATACAGAGTGAGGTATATGTTCTGCATTTTCAAATAAAGCTCTATAAATAATCTTTTGTTAACGAAAACCTTTTTATTATGCATAAGATACTTGATTGTAGAATGTGTGTTTGTATGAAAATTTTATAAGAATTGACAAAATAGAAAAATGATAAAAAACCAAATGAAAAAACACAAGTTAATTTTTATCGTATTTAAATCCATGACAAAAATTATATTAATTGTGTAGCATACTAATGAGCCACTATTCAAATCTAAAGTTTCTGTTACTGTTTATGATAATTAGAGCCTTCCTTGATAGAGTAGAGCTAAAGTGGAAGCAAAATTTTGCACTGAGAAGCTGGATTGACCTAAGTGTCACTTAATTATTAATAAAAATGCTAGACTTTGGTAGCCACTTCAAAGAATCATTTAATACACACACACACACACGTTTGTATGTCTGTAGGAGAAAGAGAAGATGTTTAGTTTAGCCAAGGGAGTTTACCTTATGGTTATGACTATAAATCCAGAAATTCTAATAAATTGAATTTCAGATACATTTTGGATGAACCCTCAATACCAGGTTACACTTGAAGATGTTGATGATGATGATGATGATGATCTTTGTACTATGATAGTGGCACTAATGCAGAAACATCACAGATCGAAACGACAAATTGGACAGGACTGTTTAACAGTTGGCTATATTATCTATCATGTGAGTTACACATGTATTTTATTTCATAGTGACAGCTATTTGAGAATGGAGATCAGTAGTTTTCATGAGCTTTTTTGTAAATTGGCAAATTCAATATCTGTTTTGTTTTTTTGTAATTTTTATTGTGGTCCAATTTTTCTTACAAAGAGAGCAAGAAACATGAAATATTGATCCTAAAAACATTAGAAATAATATTTCTGTTCTAAATTGTTGTGTGTAACCAGCTAATTAAGGGGACTAAACAATTTACCTTTCAGTTTTTTATGTTTTTTTACATCTATTTTCATTAGCTGAATGACCCAGACAATTTACCTAAACCATTACCAAAGGAGTTTTTTGAATCTAGAACTCCAGCAGCTAAATCTCCTTCTTTTATAAATCTGCGTGAAGTAAGTTGCAGATTCAAACTTCCCCCTGGCTCCTACAGCATTATACCTTCTACTTTTGACCCAGATGAAAGAGGAGAATTTGTCCTGCGAGTGTTCACTGAAAAAGAAAACAAAATGAGGTAAAATAATCCTATGTGAACTTATTTCAGGAGTATAAGGAACTGGATAACTTGGAGATAAAATCAAATTTCATGTTTTCATTGGAAATGGATTTCAAAAATTACTTTGTTTTATTCTTCATTGGTTGTTATTTATCACTTGTATATAGATTATAAATTAATCTAAAATTTACATCCAGGTAATATACATAAAAGTTTATTTGATATTAATGCATTTTGTTTCAGCGAATATGATGAAGATGTTGGACTTAAGTCCCCTGATGAAGAAGTAAGATATATTTTAGTCATTTTAAATAGTTTTTCATATTAAATTTTGCTTGAATAATGATATAAAGTTTCAAGCAAATAGAATAAATTTTGTTTAAAGTAAAATGTATGCCTTATTGGTATAAATATTTCAGAAGAAATTCTATATTATTAGTCAATATTTGATAAAATAACATCTACATATATATAAATTTACCTTGAAGCCTAAAATTAAAAACTCAACATTTAATATCATAAGAAGAGCAACATATATATAGTATTGTATGAAATGTCCTAAAACTTCGTTTTTGCTAGATTTAGTTGCCAAGATTGACCTTATCTGCTCATCACATTTACTAGAACCTAATGAGCTGAGAAATATTTTGTGCCATTTTTTATTTTGGATTTTACTATAATTTGGGGAGTTCTATTGTAGGGTAAACTATACTAGAAATATTTAAAATAGTGGTAATTTTCAGAATTTATTATTATATGTAAGAAAAATAGAAAGCCTTTAATGAATGCCACACTATGCCTGGTATTGTTAACATGTCTGTAGCATTTTAAATTATTGCTGACTTCAGCATTTGGTGGTAGTATAAATCAAGTGATACACAATTAAGCAAGATGTTTATATAAGTTAATTCTAACTTCAGTTTTGATACTGGAGTATTTTCTTTGATGTACATGAATCTCTTCCATATCTTTTTACTCATTACCCCATATTCAGGCTGCTTGCACTAAAAGAAACACCTCTTAATTTTTTCCTTTCCAACATTTCTTGAAGCCTCATCTGAATCAAGCTTAGATTTTGCATCTGTTAGAGGGTGTCCTTAAATTCTCAGGCAGAACAACATTATTTTTAACTGAAGCTTCATTAAGTCTACTATGTACTAAATCTCTATAACACTTGTAATGAAATACAGATTCAGAGTATTGCAGTGACAAAGACTCTATCGTATAACACAGTTTAACAAATTTCATTTCACCAGACAAAGTGCTATTCTAAGTTTTCCTTACTAGGAGTTTTCCTTAAGTAAGTTGTCACCTTTTCCTTGGCATATCATATAAATATTCTGATTAAGCTCCATTCAGAGTATTTAAGTTTCATATATATTTGATTGAATGGAACTATCAACTGCAAGAAGTTTACACATATTATAGGTATGTTCAAACTGAAGGTTTATTCACTTGATCAAAAGAATTAAATTGAATTGCAAAGAACAAGAAAAGAATTAAAAACATGATTAACTGGAAACCTCCAATGACCTTAAAAAATGGAAATACTTGAAGACATTTTATATTCAAGGAAACCCAAAGGAATGGATTGGATCAAAATTTTACCTTACTTTAAGAAGACTAGGCCATCTTGACTTAGCCCATTTCTTCACATCATTGGTGATCCATGGAAAAAACAAAGCTTTTTAGATGTGGTCTCATTTGCTATCTAGTCTATTGACATTCCCAGTTATATGTAATAATGAACGGACTTCTTTGTTACCAATTTGTTCATATTCAATAGGTTCTTGTCAAGTTTTTATAGAGCCAGATTCTTTATAATAGATGTCTGCGACTTGTTGACAATAAATTTCAACAATAAACAGACAGTACACGATCCACTTGTTTTAAAATAATATATTCAAAACAAGTCAAACATGTGTACAAAAATTTGTTACACTATTGGTTATCACAGCTGTATCCAAAGCATTAAATAATTCTCTTTTTCGTTAAAGTCCACACAGGTGAGTTCAATTTACTTTAGAACACCGTTTGACAAGACGAATTATTATCCTCTATCTATGTAATAACAGTACAAGCTGTGAAACTCACTTTAGAAATTGCCACTATATGCTTTTTATGATTAAACACACAATGACATAGTCTAACTTCACTTTTTTCACTTTTACTTTCACTAACTTTCCAGAAGTTTCTACAAACTATGAGACATTATGATATAACAAAACTCACTTAAAGGAACAAGAAAAATTCAGAAGGTTCAAGTAACCTGACATCAATTCGCAAAAATTGATTTATAAACAGTTACATAAGCAAACCTGTGATAAATTATCACTTATAAAAATACTAAATCTCACTGTTGCACCAAGTGTCTCTTTGGACCTTCACTTTCTTGTCCTTAACATAGCCTTCACTTACTGGCATGTTGTGATTTGTTGGCACTCTCGATGCTTGTCATATGCTCCAATCACTACTGGCACTGTTGACCCATTTGCTGATTGAGCTGACCATCAGTCATGCACCATTTAATCATGAAGATAGCAATTCCTTTTTGTGGCGAAAATGATGAGTTGTCTTGATTCTTCTGGAAGCAACTTCCATGGTGACAGTCGTTCTTTTCTTGTGTTTTTTGCTAGCACCAACTTTATGGAGAGCTCCAGCTGCTTTATGTTGCTTGTTGGTGACAGATTTACACTCATTCACAATATATCCAATTTTATAACAAATATAGCATCTCTTCTTCCTTTTGTCCATTGAGTTTTTCTTTTAATTTCTTTTCCTCTCTTCTCTGCTTGCACTCTTCTCTCTCCAGGCCTTGTTGTTTAATAAACTCTCATAGATCACTATCTTTTAGCCCAAGTCGCTCACCTCTCTATCCATTTATCAAAATCAGTCAACATTTTTATATAGCATAATTGTAATCTGTACTTTATTTTCACTATCACTACAATTGTTTGTACATAGGCCTACTTCTGCCATCGTTCATATCTTCGTTTATTGCTGTTTACCACTGTATAATTCCTGACTGGCTCTCCATATATCAAGTTTTTATGGGACAAGATTCTGTACAGAAGGTGTCTGTGACTTGTTTGTAAAAAAATTCAACTATAAACAGACAGCACCCAATCCAGTTGTTTTGAAATATATTAAAAACATGTCAAATGTATGTACAAAAATTTGTTACACTATTGGTTACCACAATTGTATCCAGCCCTTTAAATAATTGTCTCCTTTTATTCAGTGTTCACACAGGTGAGTTCAGTTACTGTAGAACACCCTTTGACAAGACAAATTATCCTCCTCTATTTACATTACTACAATACAAGCTGTGAAACTCACTTTAGAAATTGTCACTATACGCTGTTTATGGCTAAAATCACACAGCCTGACTTCACTTTTACTTTCACTAACTTGGTTGCCTAATATATATATATATATA